TGCGATTCTGTGTGCACTAGGCTTTATAACATCTGGAAAAGAGGCCTGAAAATGGGTCAGTTTTAGCAATTCGCAGGCCACACTAACGTCCTGCAAAGATATAAAAAACTCTACTTAAAAGCTTCGCTGTTACATGGGACCTTAAAAGAACACACAAAAGGAACAGAAATGAATCGTTAAATTGCATTTATATTGATACCAGGCCGCTCAGCATTTCAGAAACACTGCAAGGTATGCCGGGGCAAATAGAGCCCATAATGACAAAAGGAGATTTATTGCGCCAACTTCACGCACTTAAATCCGTCTACTCTTCAGAGAAATAACCTTTAGAAGTCACCAAATACAAATAGTTCGACAAGCAGTATAAAAGTTCAGACATTTATTTATTAGACCATTTCATGAAACTAAGCATCTCATGAGAGTTTAGTGAAAATAAGAGGTTTGAAACATTGGTTTACCGCCTACGGTTTGGTACAGAATTCACGTGACACTTCCTACACAGGACAAAACTTGCATCTAATAAAGAGTGTTCCTGCGGCCACCCTGGCGAAGATGTACATGACCTGCTTCTAGAGTGACCCAAATGTGACACAAGTTTGCAACTTTTAGGAGCATTTTCGATTAGCGAAAATACTAGGTGCATGTCCAATAGCAATTTTTCAGAAAAGAGCTTTTGTCGCCTTCAACAAGTATCTTGAAGAATCAAATATTTGCAGGAAATATTTACCTACAGTATGCAATTTCGCCTTCATGCTAAAGGAATTGTGTAATATTGACATAGCGTGTTTCATATGTGTAATCATTTGTCTCAGTGTGAACTGACCTTGCGTGTAGAACGTGTGTACTTATAAAAATATGAGGCGTATCTGAACTGTCATGAGATGCAAACTGACCTTGTGTGTGGAACTTGTGCACATAAAAACCTATTAGGCGTGTCATAACTGTCATGTGATGTGAACTGGCTTTGTGTGTACAGTTTGTGCACATATGAACCTACTAGGCATATATGAAGTACCAAGTGATATGAACTGACTTTGTGTGTGGGACTTGTGCACATATGAACCTATTAGGAGTATCTGAACTGTCATGTGATGTAAACTGACCTTGTGTGTACAACCTGTGTACATATGAACCTTCTAGGCGTGTCTGAAGTATTATGTGATATGAACTGACTTCGTGTGGAACTCGTGCACGTGTGAACTCATTCGGCGTATCTGAACTGTCATGTGATGTGAACTGACCTTGTATGTGGAACTTGTGCACATAAGAACTTATCAGGCGTATCATAACTGTCATGTGATGTGAACTGACCTTGTGTGTACAACTTGCTTACATATGAACCTACTTGATGTGTCTGAAGTATTTTGTGATATGAATTGACTTTGTGTGTGGAAGATCTGCACGTATGAACTCGTTAGGAAGGAAGGAACGAAACAGGAGGAAATGAACGGCAGGGAGGTTAACCAGCCTATAGGCAGCCTGTTTGCTACCCTGCACATGGGAGGGAGATGGGGTAGATGAGATACAGAGAAGAGAGGGAAGAGAAATAAACACAGCACATTCGGCAGCACGCGCGCGCACACTCATAGTTCAGTCTTGTTTTTTGTGGTGTGTGACATTGCTGTTACAGCCGCTTGTTCAAGTCCGTGTCGCGTAGGAATTTCAACTGAGCTTTTGTCGCCTTTTGTTGCAATGTCTCCTCTCGGGCACTTGAAACAATAGTGTCCACAGACAATTGGCTGTTGTCGATGCGCGCCAGAACGGACGCCAGTGGCTGTCTCTGGATGTCATACAACAAATAGTCGCACAGAATGTGGGTTAGTGTCTCTTCGCAACGACAGGCATCGCAGAGAGCGTTGTCGGCCATTCATCTGATTAATAAATAAGACTTTGTAAATGCCACTCCTAGCCATAAGCGATGAAGAAGAGGGGCTTCTGTTCGGTCGAGCCCAGTGGGCATGCGGAAAGCCATCAAAGAGGAGAGGTGGCATGTTCGTTCCCTATGACGCCGCACTGACTTGGCAGCCACTGAGACGTCACATGATGCCAGTTCTCGTGTGATGTGTGGAGAAGGCATTGAATGTCGAAAAGAATCTCTTCGTGTGGCCTGCGACAGAGTGCTGAGAGCACACATTGTAGGGCAGCCCTTGAGTCACTGAAAATCGATCTTTGTTGCGGTGATTCCCGACTGACCGCACAACGTGCAGCACGCGAAGCAGCTAGTTCCGCTGCTGTAGATGCCGTGGAGTGGTCAGTCCCAAAGCTGATGATAACACCTCTTGCGGGGCAACTACTGCACCTGACGAACACTGGCGGTTTGTATAGCAATCAGTACATATATGTACACGTACCTGAACGACCAAGGGATGTGAACTGACGTTGTGTGTACAACTTGGGTACATATGAACCTATTAGACATGTCTGAAGTATCATGTGATATGAACTGACTTTGTGTGTGGAACTTGTGCACGTATTAACTTATTAGGCGTATCTGAACTGTCATGTGATGTTAACTGACCCTGTGTGTACACCTTGTGTACATATGAACCTACTAGACTTGTCTGAAGTATCATGTGATATGAACTGACTTTCTGTATGGAATTTGCGCACGTATGAACTTATTAGGCGTATCTGAACTGTCATGTGATGTGAACTGACCTTGTGTGTACAACTTGTGTACATATGAACTTACTAGACATGTCTGAAGTATCATATCATACGAACTGACTTTGTGTGTGAAACTTGTGCCCTTATGAACCTACTAGGCGTATCTGAACTGCCAAGTAGTGCGCTCGATCTGTTTAAGTGTTCCTTCTTTGTGGTGTCCTTTCTATTTCAGCGCGATTTTTTACCTGAATAGAATGAACCAACTAGCCCCTCAAGACGTCCTGATCAAGTAGTGTGAACTGAGCTTGTGTGTTGAACTTGTGTACACATTACCATATTAGCCATATGTGAACTGACCTGTGACGTTCTTCTATTGTGTACGTTCGGATCGTATGTGGTACTTGCTAGCATTTTGAGCCCTAATATTTTATATTACGGCATATCTTCTCTACTAGAAGAAAATGAGTCGCCATTGCCACTATAATGACACAAACCTCTCCTATTTCACAATAATAATAAAAAAAAACGCCCTTACCGCCATAATAAAGAGGTATGCTGTTAAAAATGCATGTTAGAAAGCTTTGAAAAATTCCATCATAGCACCATTTAGGTATAAACGATTAGCAAACTTGGAAATTATCTAGGATTGACGCAAAGATGTATGCAAATACGTCGTGGTAGGCGCAACACAACAAATGGGAAGCTAGTATACATACGAATTCGAATAGTGCCCACATCATCATGTGCTGTTACAAAAAGGAGTGGCCCGGAGAACGGGATACAATCTTTCACAGATGACTGCAGAACGATGACTCGACTTGGCTTCCATATCTCTGCTGAAAAAATGGGGGAAGCCTTATGCTTCACCTTTCAGTCAAATGCAATAGCGAAATCCTATTTCTAGTGCTTACTTCGAACACTTGAGTCCTATTGCATAATATATTTCCAAACTTGCCATCCACCCACTACGTTAAGTTTGGGGAATAGGCGCAGTAACGTGTGTGCCTTTTGTAGTGTTGAACCGGATTCAAACCACGTGTTCTGACGGCTGATGGGAACGTATGCTAGTACAGCGGGTCATCATTGCAATCTTTTATGCTGGATTGTGAAGCATGTATGACATAAGCATGTGTTTGTAAAACATGACCGTTACTTTCACTGCATTTCTAATCAGAGGAAGTTTTCAATGAGTTCACAAGCAGACAATTGGCTGTGCGCTAGAACAACCTCTTGCCACGCAAACCACCCGGTTTTCATCTCCACTCAAACATAGAATGTTTTATTACTTATTTTATTTGCATGTATATCGTTTTTTCGCCCACAACCAACGACACCGACGCCGACGCGTGAACTCATGTGAAACGAGCTCTTTAACACCATCGAGTTAAAAAGTAGGAAGTACCTTCAATGAACTTTCTGTGCCTAAATTTTTGTTGAGGTCGTTTCACAAGACTTCCAGCAAAGGGGACACTAAAATTCTCATCTATATTTGTATTACTTAAGAGAACTTCTTTCACTATATCGAAATGAGAAACTAAGACGGAGACCCAAACGCGTCATCGTACGCCATTTGAAACTATTCGTGAACTTACCGGTAGAACGTCACGGTATTGAATCCTGGGCTCGAGGTTCAGTATTCAACGAAGGCAACATGAATGAAGCCCCATGTGCTTATATTAGGTGAAATGTATAGATTTGCCATGGGAACTCCTGCAAGCCAACTTTCCATTGCCATGATATTTTCTTTCTTGGTTTTGGTGTGCTGCATGTTTCTTACTGGCATGCAGCAGCCGGAAGGATATAAACTTCAAGCTCTCCGCAGAAAGTTCGTCAGAAAAAAAAAGAAGGAACCCAGGTGGTTGAAATTTCCGGAGGCCTCCACAGCGGTGTCTTTAGGAATTATAACGTGGCGTTGGGACCAACAAACCACGACAGTTATAACAATGAGCTATCTAATTGGATAAATAAGGGTGGGTCACGTCGAAAATGTACAGTTCCGCATTTCATTGGGCACTGTCATAAGGGGTGACGACAGCTGCGCTTAGGTGATGCACGGCATTTTAGGTTGCCATATCAGGAATTTCATGATTGGGTGGCCTAGATAAAGTGAAGAGTGGTTACAGAACGTGAGTAAAACGGTACGCTCGCGAAAAGGCCTGTGTACGTAAGATTGTAGGACCGATAAGCAGGCGTTTCTACGCAGCGGTGACATGCGTTGGGATGAATGCTTCGCCCTATCTTTTTATTCGGTCACTAGGCCACATCCGCCGATAGGGCGAGGGTTCCCCGGTGGCAAAGGGTGGTTTCTGGAAAGGTCATCGAATGAACGTACTGATAACGGCAGGCGTGCACCGTGGAATATTTGCGCCGCCTACACAGAGTCGGCAGTTTTTGTCGGGCACTCGCTTCGGCCGCAGCATTTGCGATCGCAGCGGCTGATCACACTTTTTGGCAGAAATCAGACACTGCAAGAGTGATTCAAAAAATGACAACGCTACTTCTGACCAGGCTAGCTGGGGCCGCTCTGCTTCTGGCAACGCTTGTTCTGGGACAAGGTAAGAGTGTCGGTTCAGTGAGTGTCAAAGCTGCGACAATGTTCTTTCTGAGCATACGTGCGTAGCGTCAAGTAGAAGCTATTTTAATGCGCAGTATGGCTATTCTCGAGGCGGTACTTTCAAAGTGAGGGCACCAAGGGCACTTTCTATTCAAAGAACGCACCGTTAAGGTAAAAAAAAGATATTCAGAACTAATTTGTTCCATCAGCGTGCGTTGACGAAACTATGTTTTATCTTTTCAAATTCTTTGGTTCAGTCGGCAAACTCTTGGTAGCCTGCGCATATAATCAACTGTAAACATGGGAGAAGGTTTCTTTGTCATTGTTGCTTAAATATTGCTATTTATTGAACATAATATTAAACATTTGGAGAGACCTACCATGACTTTGTAACGACACGACGACGTTCTACTATACCTATTTTTAAAGAAACCCTTATAAAATATTTATGTCATTTTTCAAAGTGTGGTATTTACCTGGAAACATTCGCACCACACAAGAGGCGTTGGGGCTGTTAACACAGTAGTTTGATGAATAGGTAGTAGTAGTAAAAAATAACTTTATTAACAAGTAGTTAGTAGATAACGTTTAATACCGGATGATTCCATTTGTTCACCGCACCTGTGCTTCGGCGTAACCAGCAACGCGTAGCACTAACAACAAGAACCATAAAAGAGCGGTATGGTAACATCTACGCGCCTTATTGCGGCAGAGGGCGTACGTAGTCATTTGACTTTCCATCCGGTCAGTCGCACGACTCTCAAAAGAAAGTGTAGTGTGGCCTCCAAAGATAGTTACGTGCCTCTTTAGAAAGAGTTTTATATGTGGCAAGCCAAGAGTAAAGAAACTGGGCTGCTGAACAACTTTCCTTGTTTCCCTTCGGCTTTCTCTTTTACAGCGAAAGCTGTTATGGACCCCAATAAAAGGTTTGGCCCGTTAGTTAGCAGCCACAGCTGCTGGTGTCCGTTACCACTTCCACACGAAATAAGAAAAAAAAACACCAAGGACCCAATGGGAATAGGAACTGAGTCTCCTGCAAGCTGTCTCAGTATTCTACCACTGAGCCACAACGATGCTTGAGACTCCTTCGCAAACAGGCCTTAGGCCGCTCAGATGTCGTGAAAGGAATTGTGTTACTATGAGTAATGAAGTGTTTTAAAACAGCAAAGAAACAACCAGGCGTCAGACAATGCGAATTGCGTAAGGCGTGGGCTGTTCAATGCTCCGACTCATTATGACAGTCTGATCTTGTTCGCCTAATAATTCTGGTGCACACCCACTGTGGGCGATTGATTGTGCCCCGAATCACAAAATCTTCTAGTTTAATTCTGCATCCTAGTCAGCTGCAGCATAAAAAAATTACCGAAATTCCTTGCAAGTGTGCAGCAGGTACCACGCTTCTCACAAAAATGATGAAGGATGGCATAGTGAATGCCCGCCTACTACACAATGATTGATAGCGTAGTGGGCACCCTGCAAATGTGCTTGCGCCAGGTGCCTAACGAGTGTTAAGACTCTGAAAGGCCTCTCTTCCAGCTTTCGCTGGGACAGTGCTGAGCGTTTCGCGCAGGCCGGGCGGTATTAAATGCGAAGCATTTCTTAGCGAACTTCGGCAACATTGAGCCTATCTACCTATCTATCTATCTATCTATCTATCTATCTATCTATCTATCTATCTATCTATCTATCTATCTATCTATCTATCTATCTATCTATCTATCTATCTATCTATCTATCTATCTATCTATCTATCTGTCTATCTATCTATCTATCTATCTATCTATCTATCTATCTATCTGTTACGTTCTACCGGCCATAGGCCGGCCGCGGTGACAAAGGAAATCAGTCGATGTGGCAGTGCAAACCAACAAAACTTTATTTCGAGCTCGGAAATATATATAGGAAAGCAAGAGGAGAGAAAGAAGGAAAGTTTTACAATGACGCATGCGCCGAGGGGCGTCATTTGGCCGGACTTGTTATCTGCAGCATTCCTTCCCCCTAGGAGCCGTAGCGTTCCACGGGCTTTCTGATTCTTGTGGACCGACGTAACTCGGGGACAGGGCTTTCGGAAAGGTCATCCGCTTCGCATTTCGGAGCATCCTGGGTGGTTCGGTGTTGTCCCTCGGGTGGCGGTTCTTCTGGAGTCGCTGTTTCTCGGCTTGCACCTGTGTCGGATGAACGTTTTCGCACCTGGTCGACATGACGTCGAACGACGCCGTCTTCCGTTGCTACAGTGACGAGACGTGCCCCACTCGTCGATTTCACTTTGCCTGGCGTCCACTTGTCCCCAACACCGTAGTTGCGCACATAGACGGCATCTCCAGGAGCGAAGTACCAACTCGCAGACTCAGCACCTGGATTCTTCGGCAATTCGTGGTTCCTGGGAGAAAAGCAAATATCCAGTCTAGTACGCAAACGGTAACCCAAAAGTAGCTCAGACGGCGAAACCCCTGAAGCTTGTGGCGAATTCCTATAGTTACAAAGAATTCTTGACAGAGCCGTTGACAGTTCTACTCCGGGCATTCTCTTCAACCCATCCTTAAGGGTTCGCACGGCGCGTTCTGCGAGCCCATTGCTTTGAGGGTGGTAAGGAGGGGTACGAATGTGCTCGATTCCATTTTTCTGCACAAATTGAGCAAATTCTGCCCCTGTAAAAGGCGTACCGTTGTCGGTAACTATGGTGCGCGGTAATCCAAAACGGCTGAACAAGGTTCGCATAGAATCCACCGTTGCATTAGCGGTTGCTCGCGATACTGGAATGGCTTCTATCCAATTGCTGTGTGCATCCACGATTACCAACAGCATTTTGTTGGAAATAGGTCCTGCGTAATCTGCGTGCAACCGCGACCACCTCTCACGCGAAATTGGCCAACTGACGCGGTTCCGTTCCGGGGGCATAGGCAAAGCTTGCACACAATTTTTGCAGTCTGAAGCGGCCCTCTGGATGTCTTGATCCAGACCGGGCCACCAAAAGCTAACCCTTGCCCTTGTCTTCATGGTGGACGCTCCCTGATGCGATTCGTGCAACAATTTCAATAGCTTCTCACGCGCCGTTCTTGGTATCACTACCCGATGGCCCCAGAATAACATGCCCTTCTCGACAGACAACTCATGTCGCCTTTTCCAGTATTCGACCATTTCTCTGCTGTCACCCGCGACGGAAGGCCATCCTTCAGTCACGTACCTACATACTTCTTGTAAAACGGCGTCCGCTTCTGTGAGTGCTTGAAGTTCTTTGTGCGAAACCGCGGGCTCGTCCAGCTGGTCAATGAGAAGCACCATTTCCGTGAGGTTTTCCGTTTCTGCTTCCGGCTCCTGCAAGGATTGTGGTAAGCGGCTTAGGGCATCAGAGATTAACATCTGACTGCCGGGTTTACAAATAAGCTTGTATTTATACGCGCCGAGCAAAAGCGCCCATCGCTGAATGCGTGCGGCAGCCATAACAGAAGTCTGACGGTCCGGTCTCAGTAGCCCCAGCAAAGGACGGTGATCTGTTACTAACGTGAACTCCCGACCCAAGAGGTAATCGCGGAACCGTGTCACGCCAAACACTAAGGCTAAAGCTTCTCGCTCGATTTGAGAGTACTTCATTTCAGCTGAGGTGAGCGTTCGTGACCGGAACCCAATTGGCCTGTCTTCGCCATTTATACGGTGAAACAGGGTAGCACCGACACCGTAAGGGGAAGCGTCGCATTCCAGCAGCAACTCCAGCTGCGGATCAAATACGTTAGCACTGGGGCCGAACACAAAGCGCTCTTTGCCTTCTGAAATGCCGAGTTTTCTTTCGTGTGCCAAACCCATTTTGCGCCTTTTTCAAGAAGCTTATACAAAGGTGCAAGCACAGTGGAAAGATTTGGCAGAAACTTATTGTAAAAAGTGACCATTCCTAAAAAGGATCGCAACTCAGCAACATTTCGTGGCAACGGGGCCAGTCTGATTGCGTCGACGTTCTTTTCGAGCGGATGTAGTCCCTCGGTATCAATACGATGTCCCAGATACGTCACCGACGATTCACAAAACCTGCACTTTTCTGCACGAAGCTTGATGCCGTACTCGCGGAATCGCTGCAACACTGCTTCCAGATTAGCATTTTCATTGTTGTTGCTCTCGGCTATCAGCACATCATCCAGATATGCCTGTGTCCCTGGCAGCCCTTGTAGCACCGATTCAATCTTCCGTTGGAATATCGCAGGAGCTGACGCGATGCCAAACGGCAATCTATTGTAGCAGAACAGCCCCTTCGGTGTATTTATCACTGCTAGTTTCCGCGAGTCTTCATCTAGCTCGACCTGGTTGTATGCATCGCGAAGGTCCAATATACTGAATTTCTTCCCTCCACGTAAATTTGCAAATATGTCGTCTATGACAGGCAATGGGTACTGCTCAACCTCGCACACTGGGTTTAAAGTCACCTTGAAATCACCGCATATGCGCACCGTTCCGTCCTTCTTCAAAACTGGAACAATGGGCGTCGCCCATTCGGAATGAGGAACTGGAGAGATTATGCCAGCGGATACTAATCTGTCAAGCTCCTTTGACACTTTATCGCGAAGTGCAAAAGGAATTTTTCTTGCCTTGAAAAACTTGGGGGTTGATCCGGTCTTGATATGCAGTCGGGCCGGCGGACCTTTCATGAGACCAGTGCCCTCAGTGAAAAGGTCAGCGTTTTTCTGGAGCAGCTTCGGAATGACCTCCTGGGCTTGGCTTGACCTTGAAGGCTGCGGATACACGTTGAGAACCTGGATACATTCGTCGGTTAATTTTTTCAGCAGATCCCGACCGCAAAGACTGGGCCCCTCGCAGTCTAAAACAGTCAAAGTACATTGCACTGTTGTACCTTCGTAGGAAACCGGCATTGTTATTGCGCCGAGAAGCGGAAGTCTGCCCAGATAGCATGAAAGCTGTAGTTCTGACTTCTGTAGCTGCGGCCACTGATGACAGTACGTCTCGTAGATGCTCTTAGGAATGACGCAAACAGGCGAGCCCGTATCGATGTCCATC